AATATTTCATACATTTTCAATTTTTATTGCAAAATGAGAAGAAAAAAGTGAAATGTTCGAATAACGAAAATAATGATGTAAAACAGATCAATATAAAAATAAAAATATAAAAATTACTTACAATTGTTTTCATCTCTCTCTTAATAAAGAAAACACTTTTGAAAAAGATGAGCACTACTAAATCAGATCGTTTGTGATCCTAAGGAAATAAGGAATTCACCTTTTATACTCTCACTTTATCCCCACTTAAAAAGTGATGGATCTCCAAAGATGTTTCACATAGTTTGTAACAACGATCTTTACATGCGTGTTATCTTATATGTATATGGTGATACATTCCATACCACTTTATGTTTCTTTTCGACTATTTTTTCTTTATCTTTTTTTGCAAGGGTAAATCAATACATTGTATTAATAGATTATATTATAATTTTTTATTATAAGTAATTACTTATTTTAAAGCCCTGAATAATTAAAATTTTAATTTCGTTTCAATTTATTTCTATCATTATTAATTAAATATAATTAAATCAAATATTTTTCTTACTTATTTTTCTAAATTACTCTATATCGATAACAAAAAATCAATAATATTTTATTTTATTAAAATTATAAAACTCTTATAATTCTTATAACTAGTTCGAATAATATCAAAGCAAGTAACAATTTAAATAATAATTTTAATCTAAATATTATTTTATTTTATTTTTGTTATTATAATTCTAATATTATATATTTAGCTCTACAATTAATATATTTCTTTTCAAATAATAAATATAAAATTATTTTGAAATTTTATATTTGTACGAACAAATAGAACGATAGAACGATAGAACTAATTACTTAATTCCTTGATAATAAATAACATGTGAATAAACATAAGTGAAAGATTTTCAATTTCTGAAAACAATTTTATGATAACATAACAATTATACATTAAATACTTGCTAATATTTAAATTCCAATCTATTGCATCACATATGAAGTCACGATTCTCTAAACTATTGCTACAGCATGAACATGTAAATTATATTAATATTGAATTTTTCATTGAATTCAATATTAATATCTTAAGTAAATAAATATTAAACATAACTTTTTTTTATTGCTTCATATGAAATATATTCAAATATTGAATATATGAATTTGAATGGAATAATAATTACCGTATTATTATGTACGCAAAGAAATGCTACAATAAACATATTATAATTAAGTTCTTTTTTTTTTTGTAAGTTTTAGAAATAGAATTTTCCATTAGACTTAAAATAGAAGATATAGCTTATAATTCCATAATAATTTTTAAATTTATATTTATTAGAACTTTTTATTTATTTTAAAGAATATTTATGTTCCTAATTTTTCCAGAACTTTTTTTTTTTACATCTTGTATATATTATTAAGAGCAAGCAAAAATTATGTTCAATAATAAAATTCATAAATCAAATTCAAAAATTATTTATATATATTTAATAATATTAATTTAAATACATATAAAAAAATATTTGTTTCATCATTTAATCACATTCATTGCGTTTTTTTTCATTGTCTAAATTTGATATTTTTTTATGAGATACATTTTGTATTATTAAAAAATATGAGCCTTTAAAAATAACTGATATTCATATATTATTAGAAATTATATATATATATATTGATTTTATTTTATTAACACTATTAATTTTTTTTTTCTTTTTGTATCCTTTTGTATACATACATTAGAAACTATAATACATATATTGATTTATTATATTATTAATTATCCATTTGAACTTATATTTCATCATTTAATATTAAAGAAGACGATATATACAAAATGAGAAATAATAAATAAAATAAGTGATAGTAATATTAATATATAATATATAATAATTGTGAGTAATATAAGTAATAAAAAGAATATTTTATCAAATACAAATAAAATTTATTCAATGTAATAATCTTAATAATTAATGATTGTTATATTGTTATATTATAATAAACATATTATATCGAATAAAAATCAAATAGAATTTTGTATTATAATTCTGAAACGAAAAATTTCTTCAAAGTTTCATTATTATCGTATATTATCTGAACGAGCATAAAACAAACATCTACAGTGTTTTTTATTAAAATTTGACAACGCTTTTTGAGAATTGCAATTTTTTTGAATTTTTTGAGAATGAAAAAAGTAAAAAAATTTTATGATTTCTTCTTTCTTCACTTTGATATCTTGTTTTGGTCATAAATTACAACTGCTTCCACAAGTATTCCACAATACCTTTAGGTTCTTTCATAATTACCTTTCGAATCTGATCGAAAAATTAGCATAAGAATTGATTAATTATTCTTTAATAGCTATTATTATATATCTTCTTTTTATTTTGCCGCAAAAAGAAAACATTTTATCGGGAGGAAAGGAAATGTAATATAATTTATTAGTATAATATATTAATTGATACTAAATTTATATTTCCTTATTGCAAAAGATTCTTTATACATTGTATATTCTTCATACATTATAAAAATATTTTATGTAAAATCATTATAAATAATAATCATTAAAATATAATTATATTATCTATATATATATATATATATTATTTTATAATTATATTTGTTAAGTATTATTTGTAGATTATTTGTACCATTAATAATGTAATAAAATAAAATTTTTTTGTAACAACAAATTAGTTATTAGATTAAAAAATATCTAATTTGTATTTATTTGATAATACTGATCATTATCAATTTTAGCTTTATATTTTTCTTTTAATCATTGTATGTTACTAATTAAAAATGATAATTATTTTTTAATTAGTATTTTTATTTAAACAGATATCATTATCGTTACTAATTATTATGTTTTTATCTTTTTTAAACAATATTATTTAAATAACAGTTAAAAATAATAATTTTCATTTTAATAAAAATCAATTACACTTCTATCTCTTCTAATAATATTTAAATAAAAATCTTAAATGTCATTTAAACAGTTAAAAATTCTGTTTCATTATGCAACACATTTTACCAATAATTACATTAAATGTAAGAGAAACGATTTCAGTTTAAGAAAAACCACAGTTTGAAAACGTTAGATGATTTAGTACAATTAAATTTAGAAATCAAGTTTCGATATTTATTATTTGAAAAGCATTATTTATTCATTTAAAAATTCAGAATTATTTTACTTCTTACCATTTTTTTATCATTTCTTCATTATATAATAAATTATTTTATTTAATTATGAAATTTTTTATTGTTATATAATATTCTTAATTATTATATATTTTTATTAGATAATATAATATTCAATTTCATAAATACTTTATTTGTAAGTTGTATGATTATAATATATATGTATGATTATAATTTCAAATACTTTTTTTGCAATAAAACGACAATCATTATCGTTATCTTATATAGAATTATCATAAATATTAAAATTGAATAATAACTGCAAAAATGTTGTTATTTTTTTCTTAATAAAATAAAATTTCAATTAACTTCTTAACTTTATTTTAAAATTTTATAATTTTATTTAACCAATATTTTACGTCATTTCAAAATTTTAAAACAATTGTTATTTCGAAAGATATTTACTTAGTTTTTTTTTTTTGATTTTTTAATAATAAAAACCATATACTATATTATTATCTCATTTTTTCTATTTACTTTTTTTTTTTAACACTCCTGATTATCATGAAATTATTTAATTATTTGCATGCAATATATTTCTCCAATTTAAATCAAAAAATTTTTCTTAGGTTTGAGATTATCGTATAATCTGCGTCAATTGTTATTGGAAGAACTGCAATTTTCCATGATGAACATGAAGATTTAAAAAAAGCATAAATTCTTTTTCAAATTGGAGATGAGAATTTTGTTAACTATCGAACGAATATTTTTTTCAATTCTTAAATTAAAAACTTTGTCAAATTTCGAGTCTAAAATAAAATTTTTAAATTCCAAACTAAAAAAAACTTTATCAGATTTCGGAAGAATATTTTCTCGAACTAAAAAAAATTATTTTAACTCTTTTAACTATTTGATTAACTATTTGATCCAAAAATTATTCAATCATTGAATCGTATTGAATTCATATTTCATTCAATTTATATATTACAATTTATATATTTACATTTAGATATTATAATTATTAGAACTTTATAATAAATCAATTTTATTATAATATAATCTAATTCCAGAAACGAGTTAGAATTAAAAAAATAGATCATCATACGATCACTTAAAAAAAATTAAAATAAATAAATAAATATGTGTATTATTATTGTAATTATTAATAGTTATTAAGACAATACTAAATTTTCAAAAAATTTGCGAGATATTTTTATAAATTCTGATTATAATTGGAAATATTTTGAGACATTTAACGAATCTTAATATTATTTCAAATTATAGATTATGGCTGTTCTTCATTTTTAAAATCATTAATCTTATTATGTAAATGAATGGATTTTCTTCATTAAATTTTTTTATCTGCTTCACTTTAGATTTATTTAATAAAGTTTCTATTTAGTAATATAATCTAAATTATCTCAATAATGGAAAATAATAAAAGAAAAATAAAATTATTTTATTAAAATAAAACTTTATTTTTAACATATTATTATTATTATTATTAACATAGTTATTATTTAAAAATATATACATATATATGTATATAATTTAACATCTTACAATATAAAATTTATAATAAGTTACAATACATACATACGATATATATATATGTACATATATATCAATATATACATATCGAGCTTTTTTTTATATTGTTGATAAGTTAATAAATATTTAAACTTATTATTATGATTAAAGTAATAAAAAAAGTATATACCGAATTAATTATAAATTATAATATATAATAACTATATAATAATTATAATACATGTATTATTATAGTTATATAAATTACAATTTATAATTTGAGATTTTTTTTTTTATTTTTTATTTTTTTTATTTTACTTTTTTTTATTTTTTTATTTTTTTAGTGACACATAAATTTAAAGATATAAAAATAACCTTTATGTTTAAATCCCATAATGTGAATATTTTAAATAAAAATATTCATATTGTATTAATATTATCATATTACTTAATATCTGGAATATATAATAAAAATATTTAATCTCCAAAAAATCTCCTCAAATACTTATTTTCTTAGTGCAAAGTTAAATAAACAACATATTATAAATTAATATTATAAAATTAACAAAACAATATTAAAATTGTTAAATATTTGATACAATTGCATTTATATAAAATTTTGGAGTAAAAGTATTTTCTTATTATATAATTTCTTTGTTACTTATTATTTTTAATAGTTCCTTAAGTCCAATGTCCGATGACCAACCAAGTAACTCACAACTATATTTCCATAATTGACTTGCTAATTCAGGATCACAAGCTTTCATTGATGGATTTACTACTCTACAATTGCTGAAGAAGAAATAAATTATATTATTAAATAACAAATAACAAATTTTTCATATATATAATATACATATAATGAATTTACTCATAATATAGGCCACTTTCTTTTCCTGCATTTTCATCTATAGCACAATATATAGTTGTCTGAGCACCTTGCTCCGCAGTTTTCATTAAAGGATTAATTAGCGATGATATTAATCGTGCACCTCGAAAGTAAGATGCATCCAAATATCGAGAAAGTTCCGTTTTTACTACTCCAGGGTGTAGAGAATATACATTTATGTTTTGAATTCCAGCAGCTGAAAATATATCAGAAAATAAATTGCATGAATTTATTACAAGAATCCAAAATATTTTAGATATTATAGACATGTTAAATAATAGAAATAACTTAAAATATAATTTCAAAATGTATTTGTACGTATAATATATAAAGTGAGACATTAATCATAGTATTATTAATTGTGCACAAAATAATAATGCAATATGATAAAAACAAATTGATAAAATTTTTCTAATCGAGCTATGTTTTTGAAAAAGTTGATTTTAAAATATACTTGAAATCCCAAAATCTTACGAAATTTTATTTAATGTGTTTTCTAATAATCTAGCGAATCTATAATTGATTAACATATAAACACAACATGTTTATGAAATATTCATTTCTTTTAATAAATTATTTAGAATATTATTAAATATTATATATTAAATATTTTATATACAAAAACAATTTTTATTTATATAAAAAATAATATATATCTTAGAAAAAGTAAAGAATACTGATTCAATTTAATAAAAATTTGAAACATTAATGAACATAGTAATTAGTATTATAATGAAATTTGCCTTATTTTTATAATTAATAATTTGAATTCAAAATATTTGAATAATTAATTTATCAATATCAAGATAATTACTAAACTAAAAAATTTATTAATAAACATTATTTTGTTACTTACCACGTAACTTGTTATTCAATTCTTTAGTAATAAAATATTAGCTAATTTACTTTGACAGTATCCTTTTATCGGAGTGTAGGAATGTTCTAAATTTAAATCTTCGAAATTTATATCACCATCTATAATAAAAAATATATATAAATATTAAAATTAATAAAAGTAAAATTTTTATAGATTAATTAAATTTTTTAACAGATAATAGATAAATATATTTAATGAATAATACAAGTAATTAAATATTTTTTAATAAATATCACAATAACGTATGTTTCAATGTATGTATAATTGTATCAAAGAAATTCATTAAATAGTCAGTAAGATTCCATGTTCAATTCTAATCTATGTGTGTGTTAATTAGAAATAATGATAAAAATAAAATTTCAAGAAATTTCAGCATATTATTTATTTTATACATTTTGTTAAATAAAATAAAAAGTTAAATCTAATCAGTATTTAAACACTTTATTATAAAAAACAATGTTTGATTATTATTTATACACTATTTGAATATAGAAAAATAGCAATATATTGTGACGTTATTTTTAAGACTAAAAATTTATATATCTATAAATTCTATAATAATTTTATATGGACACCACGGAAACAATAACAAAAAAATATAACATAATAGTATACGATGGAACGTTGAGTTAAATTCATAAAACATGATCATGTGTTTTCTTCGAGGAAAATTCTATTGACATTATTTCGCGAGAAATCATTCCGTTTGCATTAATAATTAATGCGAATTAAAGCTGAAATAAGTGGAAAACAATAAAAAAAAAATTAGAAATTTATATTATATGGAATATATATTCTTCAAGGAAAATTCTGCTAATTATTTTGCAAGGAATCATTCTCTGCACTAATAAAAACTCTATCATCGTGATTAAGGAAAAATGCATTAAAATCAACGTTATATTATCCACTATTAATAGCAATAAATGTGATCAAAATGTATGAAGTACAACTGTTGTTTTTCTTCATATCCGAATGATAAATATAATGATAATTTCTTATTATCATTATCTTTATCTTATATCTTTATGCTTCGTAATCTATATAACTAAATTAAAAATCAAAATAAAAAAAACATGATAATACTGCAGAATCATATAAGAAGATATTAAAAAGGGAGAAAAAACAAATTTTGCATAGAATGTATATAAAATATTTACAATTAAAAAATGAATTTCAAGAACAAACAAATTAAATCGAATTTAAACACTTTTTTGATATAGAGCTGGCACATTATCACACATCATAATATTTGCGAAATTTTATAAGATTAGTTATAATTTAAAAACATATATGTTACTAATATGCAGAGATATCAAACGAAGTTTTATACAATCTAGAATTAATTAATCACAAATATACAGACCGTAAAACAAATAATCTAAAATTGTGTTCGATACTTCGAAAACAATTCTATAAATACGATGAAATGTATGATAAAAAATTTACTTGCGGCATTATTTCGACGCTTTTTATATGCAGAATTATTTTATATTAAAATGAAGATATAAACATAAACCATTTTGAATGCTCATTTATATATCTATTTGTTTTACCACAAAAGCAATATCTAGAACTTGCTATTAATTTTAACATTAAATCATTCATCATGGCACTTTGTTTTATACAAAGGATTTAACAAATTTTGTTAATTTTGTAATCAATTCAATAAATTAAGAAATTTACTTAAAAATGAAAACTATAACAAATATGTTAAAAATTATCAAAAAATCAAACATTTTATAAAACAGAATAGTATTAAATCCATTTCATACTTTATATTAGAGAGATTTGGAAAGCCAGTAAAGTTTTGCTTATCGAAATTATATTAAGAAGCCATATATTGTGATAATAATCAGTTATCTTTGAGATAATTTTGTAAATGAAATATTTTATTATATGTTCTTGTAGCTTATATTGAAATATTTTTAAAACTTATGCATAACATTGGACGTAATGATAATGCTGTTTTTGAGAAAAAAATTCAAAAGATTCTTGGAATTATATATTTTTTTAAAAAGGCTTCGGCATGACTATGAACATGATGAACATGGTAAACATGATCTTGGGATTAAAATGATGTTTTCCAGCCATGCCAATTTCAATCAGCATTATTTTATTTGATAAAAATTATTACAAACTTGGATCAATTCCTTAAGAACAGCGCACTTTATGAGTGGCATAGTTTCTACTTCTAGAAATTTTCCTCAGATTGGAGGTGTTATTCAATCAGGAAACTAATCCATGATATCATTGGCCGCTTGTGTAGCTCATCCACAATCACAAGAGATAAGCATAAAGAAAGTTTTAGAAGACACAAGCGTTTTGATAAACTTTAAGGAAATCAGAATTCTTTTAAATTTGTAATCTTTTGAACTTTATATTTTAGAACTTTTCTAATTACAAAACTTGTAAAACCATCAAATTTTTTAACAATTCAAAGTATTGAATTATTAGAACGCATTTGAATTCTTGAAATGTGTAATCTCAAATTGAAGAAAAATTTTTAAAACGTCGTTACTCATTATTTATTCAATGACAATATTTCATTAGCATATAAACTTTGCTCTTGATCATTTAAATTAAAACTTTGTTAATAGCGAACTTTGTAATGAATCAATTTTATTAGTATTATAATTATATATCACAGTTTCATGATGTACAAAATCCAGTCCGTCTTGTACATCGAGTAACATTGATGCTGGCTGATATATAAATTTTTAAAATTCATAATTCAATAATAGCTTTAGAAAAATATGTACATAAATAATATTTTAAAAATAGTTTCAGTATATATAAGCTAAAAAATATGTGATAAAAAATATAGGATTCTATTAAAAATTTAAATATGATCAGGAGACAATTCAAGATTAATTCTAAGATTAAACATTTATCACGATATATTAATACGATATAACTTTTGTCTTCTATAATATTTTTAATATTTATAAAAATAATCGTATATATTCATTTAAAATGGATATATTATATATAGTTATAAAATTTTATTATTATATTTAATTTATATTATTATATTATTATTATATTTAATAACAATGTTTTAATATGATTATCATGAGGTTGTTCCTCAGTGTCGATAAAAATCATAAAGCTTTAATTTCTAACGACACTACAGTTTCGCACTTATGTTTGTTATAAATCAAAAATCAATTAAAATAGTAAGAATGATTAATTGATTATAAAAATAACAAGTGTGAAGTAATTTATAAAAGCAATTTGAAGTTTTTTTAATTTGTGATTAATTGAAATTGTATTAAGAATTCAATAATATCGCATCAGAAATTGATTAGTGTTAAAAAATGAATCAATCTTTTCGAAGAAAAAAATTATGAAAAATTTTCCAAAAAATTTTCGATAAGACATTGATTGTTTAAGATTTTTGAAAATTGCGAGAGTGGTGGTTAATTTTACGTGATTAAAAACACACCATAACGATCTACTTAAAGCTATATCCTTGATTCTAGCCAAAGATTTAAATTTTTGAGTAACACACGTAGGAAATTACTTATTCAATAATCATGACAAACAATGATCTTATAAATTCAGATAATACATGTGGAGAAAGTTAACGCATGAATTCTGGATTCATGATCATTAGAATTAATTTTAGTTTTAAAAAAAAGTTCTCCATAACATCATCGTTGGAAGAACCAGAATTTCGTGGCTACTTAAGAACTAGAAATATTAAAAATTTAAAGAAGACTCAAAAAATATAAATATAAATTTTGAGAAAATAGAATTACGAATATAAATTAGAAATTCTGATTCAGTTTTATGGATCGCTTGTATTATGAGTGAAATTAACGAAAAACAAATAAGAACAGTTATAATAACTCACATTTATGTGCAAGCGATGAAACATTAATTATTCTACATCCTGGTCCAGATTCTTGTATTTTCGGTAGCAATAGAAGTGTTAATAGAAAGTGTCCTAGATGATTAACTTGAAAATGAGTCTCAAAATTGTCTTCTGTTTTTTCAAATGGATGCAAAAATACTCCTGCATTATTGATCAATATATGAATATTCGATTCAACTGCTAATAGATGTTGCGCACACTTCTTGATACTTGCAAGACTACTGAGATTCAAGTGACAAATTTCTAATTCTCCTAATTCTTCTTCGAGTTTATTTTCTTGAGCTCTGAAATTTTATGTATTGTAAATATGATTATTCAAAAAATTTGTCGATTTGATTATTCTTATTAAATTTAATGTATTTAATGAGACCTGAGAGAAAATTTATTAAAAATTTCAAATAAATAATAAAATTCTATAATATTTATAAATAGTCAATACATTAAAGCAATCAAGAACCAAAAACTAAAAAATTCGAAAACTTCTAAATTAAACAATAAAAAAAATTGTATATCAGTGAAATTATATTTTAAAGAAACAGGCTTCGTTTATCAATAAATAGCAAAAAAGAAAAAAAAATATTGAACTTCAAATACAATGTTTTATTTGTACTATTTATTTTAATATAACATTGATAAAAAAAGATAAGTAATGATAAAAAAGAAAAAGAAAAGTGCATTTTGTCATAAATTTATATTCAAATTACATTCAATAATGTAAACATTTTAATATGAATAAAAGAACTTTAAATCTTCATTGATGCATAATTAATTTTAAAATTAATACATTGTAATCTATTTAAATCATTTTAAATTTTTCTATTTTTCTATTTGTAAATATTATAAAATAATTATTTTATCACAATTGTTTATTTTCAATTAATATTTGATTTGTATGCAGTTGTATGCAAATTGGTATTTATTATTTATTATAAATAAATATTAAGGTATAAATATTAAGCGTAACTATTCACATATACTATTCGATTTAAATTTTAATTTCTTTTAGATTATATAATTTTTGCTTTCTAATATAATCTTCGATTTTATAATCTTCGTTAACAACAAAATGAGATACATGTTAAATAATGTAATTAAAGAAAATATATAATTATAAAAAATATATTAAATTTATCTCTAAAGTAAAAAATAATTTTCAAATACCTTGAAACATTTTCTTTTATATCATTCACTGCTTCTTTTGCTTTATTAATATCACGACATGCTAAAATTACTCGGCCACCTGAAAAAAAAGAAGATTATATTATTTTCTACAATGTAAGAATAATAATTAAAATAATTATATGCAAAATGCGAAAAAAGTTCTATTTACTTATTAAATATTTAAATATTTAATGAATAAAATCATTTTATTTGTTGAATTTTAAAATGTTCAGTTAAAATACAATTTAAAAATCATTTATGTTGAGAATAAACTTTTAAAGAATTATAAAAATTTTTACGGAAATATTTGGTGAACAATAAATTACAAAATAAGAAATTACGTATAACAATAATTTTAATAGTAATTTTAAAACTATTGTATGATTACAATTGAAAGAAAAAAAAAATTAGAAATTAAAAATTGAAATCATATTGAATCGAAATAAATATTTATGATATTTATACAAGATAAAATATATAAGTGCATATATTTTATATGTATTTATCTGATACATTTAAAATCTTTCCAATTTCCTTTTTTTTTTTTTTCATTATTAGAATTTCTGATCATCTTAATAAAAAAATATACATTTTAATTTTTAATTGTATTAACTTCTCTGTATTCATTTTCACACCATGCATTTTAAGTCAAAATCTTTTATTGTTTTATTTATTCGTTTAAATCTTTTTTTACTAGCGCATACATTTTTTTTCAAAGCTTAAATAAAATTGAAAAAAAATAAAAAATGAGAAATTTAAAAAGATAAAATTATAAATATAGAAAAATAAGACAAGTATAGAGAAAAAAAAAAAGAAATTTATACATAAGTATTTTATTAATTTTTTTTATTTTTAATGTAATCATCTTTTTTTTATTTTTTTATGTAGATAATAAAAGGATTCAATAAAGAATAGATGAAACATACAAATACGAATTATACATGTTGCATCATGTACATTATATAATAATAGTACGATTATCATTACACGTCAAATAATAGTATGAACATATATGGTAAAACGAAATAGCTGTACAAAAATTTTTTACAAAAAAACAAATTTTATTTGTTGAGTTTTCAAAAATCATTTTGATTTGTCATTAATATGTTCTCTTTTACTATTTTACTGCGTAAGTAAATATATTAATATTCTTTGATAAAGAAAATTGATTATGAATTAGAGATTATTTAATTAATAATTTATATTAATAATTTAATGAAATTATTTTGTGCATATAGATTAATGTTATAATTATATAATAATATCAGTACAAAGTTCTTCTTTTATATTATCGGAAATCATATACTATATCAATAGTTTACATCATTCTTAAATTTGCAAATATAATAAGAACTTATTTTATCTATGATAGTTATTCAAACTAATTAACTACTAATTAAAACTATTGCGTCGTAACAGTGTAGCAGCATATTCCAGATAATTTGATCTCAGAATGAAACATATGAGTATTGTTTTATAATACAAGCATACGAGACTATTTTTGTAGAAAGTTTTTAACGATAAATTAAATGATTTCTTCTTTTTTACACTCAATAATCGCAAATATGTTATAATCCATATATTCTCTTTGAAGGATAATTTGGAGATAATTTGTGACAGTTACCAGATTATTCAGAAAACAGTTTCGAGACATTGTAGATTTCATTCTAGACATCATCACTTCTATCAAGAATTCCAGCAATAAAAGTTCGAGTAGAAGGGATAAACACGATCTAACAGAATAAATAACGAGAGAAAATAAATCATTAATTATCAGCAGAACAAAATTGATCAAATTTTCAATATTATTTTCAAACAGATTCATTTATCAGCAATCTTTTTCAATCGCCGTCATTTCAACAAAATTTAGCATTATTAAATTAAAACTGAATAATTAAAAACATAAAAATAATATCAAAATATTCTTAATAATAATTTTATATTAAAAAACAATTTTAAAAAAATTATTAATCTTTTTGTTTATTAACTCTTATAATAAATCTTTTTTAATTAAATAATAAATGTTAAAAAGAAATGTATGTATGAAAAGAAACAATTTTTGTTAAAAACTTTTTTTATATATTCTTCTTATATTCTCGAATTATAACATAAAATCGAAAAATAATCATATTTTTAAAAATATAATCTAAGATTATAATCATTTCTGAACAAAATAATAATATATTTTAATGCAATTATTATTTATCAAAATTTTATTTTTTTTTTATCTCTTTTTTAATAATATAAAGAAAGATCAAACAGTTAACATTTTCTTCTATAAATTTTATGTATTTATGTGAAAAAATAGAGAGACAAAATAATATACATTTGAAAAACAGATCATCGAATTTTTTTTTTTTTTGAATTCCGATGGTTTGAGACGCAATGTAATTCTACGCTGTTGCCTACAATAAAAAATTAATGTGAGCGATTAAAAAGATATGGACTCTTAGATGTTGAAAGAAACTGTTAATTTTCTACTTCTATTCATTTCTACTTAAATAAATGAAGTTTAAAGCAAAAGAAAATAATTGTTCTAATTATCCGAAAATTCCATTACCCAACCACTTTTATTTTCCTATTAGTTCGAATACGGAAATCTCTACTGTATTTCAAATAAATATTATTAAATATCAATTGTCTAAATAATAAAAAATTATATAATCAAGTTTTCAATAACATTCGTTTCATGCTCTATTGAAATTATGTTTTTAAAGTATCGTATTATTACAAGATTGATCATATATGAAAAATAAAAAAAAATTTTTTAAATTTCAAATCATTGCAAAAGAACTTATTGCACATTTTATATTATGGAATCTATTAATCATTTAATTTAATTAAAAAAAAAAGATATTTATATTTGTCGTGTCCGCAATAATAGTATTGTATTGCGATGTATAGTTTGATGAATGTAATAATAGCTGGATGCTTGTCGAATATCCTTCGACAGATTCGCAATAAATGGTATACTTCTTAAAGATGAGTGAATTATATAAGTGGTTACTTATGTGAAGTGCGTGTTTATTAGAGAACAGGGTCTCTCACAATGTTATAATAGATAATGATTAGAATACGATATGTTCACAACTATCTGATTGCTGTATTTAGCAATCAAACTATAATGTGATTATTGTGAGACTCTATTTGCAAGTGAAGCTTGTGCCTTCAGAAAAATCTCTTCCTATTCAATTGAAAAGGTCACAGTTTCACGGTTAGACACGCCAATAACCAATAATATCGTGATCAGTATCCGAATCGCAATCAAATTCAAGGAAATTCTTCACTTGTGTTAAAAATAACATTTGAACTAAGATTCTTGATATAATTTATCTAAAATATATATTTATAAAATATTATTATATTTAGCTACCAATATAAAGTTTATAAATTCAAAATAATTATACATATATATGTATATATATTATTTACTTTATACAAATTTTTAATATAAATAATTATAAACCCAGAAAATGATACATTAAAATTGTTTTGTATATTATGATATATTTATGAAGAAAAAAGATAAAATATTAATTTTTTTATGTTTTTATATATACTACAGCATACTTTATTGATAGCAATTGAGACTACAAAATTGTTAAATTATAAAGGATTATATATCAAAAGATCTGTATATGAAATGATTTTAAAGATTTACAATATATCTAATAAAATTAAAAACAAAAATTTATTTAGTAGAAATAGAAAAGAAATATTTTCATTAATTCAATATATTATTAATATATAAATATATATTACTTATATATACTATATAAATATACATATTTATATCAATAAAAAAAATCTAAATTAAATGACAATATTTAAAATTATTTATAAAATTATTTAATATCCTATTTTAATTAATATTTTAATAATTTCTATTATTTATATAGTTTTATATAGTTAAACTTAAAAAAAGAAATTGCATATGATTTTTATACTTAATTACATAACTTTAATTTAGTAATTTTTTAATATTATTTTAATTATTTTCTTACTCATCTTTTCCTGATAATTAAAGCATAAATTTCAATATATTTAAATAATATATATAAAAATTTTATAAATTTTTAATTACAAAAATTTTTTTATTTAATCTTAATCTCTCTAATTAAAATTTAATTTTATAAAATCTTCACTATAGTAAATTATACACAATATATAATAATGTATTTATTTCTTAATATATAATAATATATAATAATATATAATATATAAGTTTTATAATATTTTTTGTTTTTTCTTCTTATATTAATCATCTTCAATATAATCAATTTTTAATAAAAGTTTATTGATTCAATAATATATCTTTTATAAATTATATTATATAAATAATATTATATATATAAATATTCTTTTATAATTATTTAATTTTTAACATATTATAATTTTATAATGATATAAATAAGAAAAAGAAAACAATGTCTTATTTGAGAATTATTTCAAAATTTTTCATATATATCTTTCAAAACAAGTAAATAAAATAATTTATATTATAAATTTATATTTACCATTATTATTATCAATCAATAATATTATGTATATCTATATATATCTACAATAAAAATTTTTATATATTAATCATCATTAATATAATAATTAATATTTTAAATTTTCAATAAAATTACTCTTTACTTCAAAAATAGCTTATAATCTATTTAAAAATATTTATAATTATCTATTTATAAATAAATATCTTATAATAATAAAATTTATTTTATATTTTATTCTTTCTATTTCTTTTTCAAAATTTTTAGATATTTTTTTCACTTAGTCTTTCAACAATAGTTTCAATTTATATTTAATACTATATATATATATTATATATAATAGTGTTTGTTTCAACTTATATTTAAATTACATTATTTAAATCATTATTTAAATCATTATTTAATAAATTTAAATTTGCTGATTATAGAAATATAGATAACATAAGTAAATTGTGTAAAAACTATTAACATAGATTTGAAATTCTGTTTAGCTTGAAAATAAAATAGATTGATGTATATGAAATAATATTTTTTTAAAGTACTTTTTTAAAGGATAATAATATATTTAACCTAATAAATTTTATCTTAAAAATAAAATATATTAGATTTATGCATATAAAATAATATTTTTTTGAAATATTTTTTTAAAAGATAATAATATATTTAACCTAATAAATTTCTACATAATTCTTCTAGTACTTTTCATAACTGATTAATTTTATAATTTTATATTTATAAAAATCCAATTTAAATTTTAACAAGTCTTAGAATGCTTTTATAATTTGCTTTTATAATTTTGCTTTAAAATAATTTATTGAATGAAAAATTAAAAAATTATATTTAATTCGAATAGAGAATATTTCTAAATATTTTTAAATGTTTTTTTTATACTTTTAATCATGTTTGTGATATTTTCTTCTAATTTGATGATGCAAGAAATATCATTATCATCATTATTTATAAAAATTGATAATGTTACAAATACAAATATCTAATTAATATAATTATCTATAATTATACTATACTTACTATATTTACAATAAAATTATAATATTTCTTATTATTTCTTATTATCATTTAATACAATTTATACTAAATTTTTTTAATGGTTAATATTTCATTTAAAATCATAAATGAATTGTGTTTCATTCAACTGCCATATTTATCGAAATCCATAGAAACAAATCAAAACACATTTCTATAAGATTTCGAATTAATTTTGAATTAAAAAGATTGAATGTCTTTTTATGCACTGCTTTTTTAATTATTTTCACATGTATAAAAAAGTCCGAAAAACTAATGAATACTTAAATAAATTTGAATTTCAGATTATTAAATTATCCAATCAAATCACTGACAAATTTTTATCTTTATTTCACTTACACTAAACATTTTTCATTCTTATGTAGAGAGAAATAATAGAAATTGATCTGTATATCACTTATTAATAATATTACAATTAATAATAATAATATTACATATTAAAATCACATATCCATAAAAAATACATATTGCAATTGCTTTTTTTATATATTGAATGAATATTACAAATTCATTAATTTTTTTTTTTTATACTTTTATTTTTAATATACGTTATATAAATGTTACGACGAACTAAGTCTAAAACAAAGCAACACTATCTTAGCAATCGGAAAGATTGTGATCTAAGCTTTCGTATTCCTATACTTAAAACACACAAACATAACGTTCGATTTTAAATATTACTATCTCATTTTTTCTTTCTATCAAATCTCTTTTTCTAACATCCAACATACAATTAGTAACATTGTCGTGTCGCGGAATCAGTTCAGAATTTGATGAAATAATACATATTTGAATATTTATTATAAATAAAGTTTTAATTAAATAATTTTCATATAAAATTAAATTGTAAAATAATAAATAATAATCGAAATAATTTTATTTAAAGAAATTAATGTGAATAGTGAATAAAAAAAATCTAATATTTAATAGTAATATGAAAAAGAAAAATATAATGCTTATATAATTTTTCTAGTGGATATAAAATAGTAACATTAATATTATATTAAAATATAGATATTGAATTTTCTATTTAGTAATTTCATATCGTAATAAAAAATATTAAATTTAAGTGAAATAGAGACAAAAGTTTTTCAGTGGTCTATGAATTTCAAATTGATTCAAGTATCATTAGTGACTTTTTTGTACATGTAAGAATAAACAAATGTTATATGTAAAAAATACATTCAATCTTTCTAATTTGAAATCATATGAGAGTATGTTTTGATTTGCTCCTATGGATTTCGGTAAGTAGACAAATTGAGTGTCATACAATAATTCAACTATGGATTTAAATAATGTTTATACCATAAAATAATTTATCAATGGATTTATATAAAGTGATGATGTATATATTAATATTCTGGAATTTATTAAAACTTATTCGAGTTTAACTTATTTAAGTTTTTGTTAAATAAGGAGTTATATAATACGTACATTATATTACATTATTTTAAAATTTATTTGAAATAATCAATTGTATATAAAAAAGTATCAGTATATTTACTTTCATCGAGGGGCTCTGCTATACAAGCGACATTGTAATACGGTACTGCCGTGCACCCAGCTGAGCGTTCTCGCTCTTTCGCCGTCTTGCTCTATATTCAAACTAAAAATGCTTATAATTCCTTAATTAAGCCTTATTGGACATATGTATATATAAACTTTCTTTATTGTTTTAATATCTAGAATCCACCTTCCAAAGATGTCTCGTTTTTATAAACATTCTGTATATATATATATTTTCAAATAATAAAAAATTTACATAACGTTAAGTTCTTATCGTAAAGCTTTAATTTTTGCTTTTTTAAATTTTTGATTGATTGATTTATTTTTTTTTTTCATATTTTTAATAGATTTTTTACAATTTATATAAAAGAGATTAAATATAATTTATATAAAAATTGATTTTCATTATGAAATAAATTAATAAAATAGAAAAACATTCAAAAATGTTTATATAATAAATATTTATAGTAAAATTTACTAATTAAAATTGATTTATGTAGACTATCGATTTAGATACAATAATTCTATCCAGTTAAATATTATTTCGTGTTTTCAGTTGCAAGTGTGTCAATCATGTTGTTTCAAATCTAATGGCATAATCGATTAACCTATATTATTTTATCTCTTTAGATATAGCGTATGACATTTTAAATAATTTCGAAAAAAATATAAAATATAAAAATATTTTAACATATAAAATCATTTATATAATTAAATCTAAAATTATTTATAATTTATTATTATATAAAAAATAAAAAGCTATAATATATATAAAAATAACTATTATATATATAAAATATATATAAAAATATGTCATTTCAAATAAATAAAAATTTTTATTTTAGCGATCTAAAAAATAGTTTGTTATGAAAATATAATTAAATATAAATATTTTTAAAATAAACTATTTAAAAAGATAAAAGAATGTATTCAAGAGATATAATTAAATATGTTATTATCAAGATTTATGTTTAAAACAAACTATAATAAATATTGTTATATTTTCAATATATATTCAATATATACAAAAAAACTATTTAATTTTGAACGATTTTGATATAATTTAATAATAAAATAATTTTTGAGAGTATTTTGAATAATATATATATGTATATTCTGAGATATATTATTAAACATGTATGTATAGAAAAAAATTATCTATATTAAAATAGAAATTTTTGTGGCATTATTCATTTGTCACTTTTACTATTAATCTTCTTATTTTCTCTTTTTTTCATTTTTTAGATAGATTTTATAGATTTACAATAACGACAAATGAAATAATTATACTTTATTATTGCAAAAATTGATTTAATAATTTCGCAATAATTATATTATGAAGTATTAAAACAAATAATCTTTTCCTAACCTATTTTAATTAATGATGTAATTAATTAATGTAAGTACATAAATATATTTGATATTATATTTATATATATAAATAAATTTTTATAAATATCAAAACATATTGAAAAAATATATTAACAATTGATATATTAATATGAAATATATATCTCACGACAATCTCTATTAATATTATATATACTTCAACGATATCTATATTATATATTTATATATATATGATGTGTATAACAATAATAAATAAATATATAACGTATGTAAATATTTTAAATTATAAACTAGTTGTTAATAAACAGAATATATTAATAGAAATTGAGAAAATGATCATTGTATAGTTGATTTATTAAATATAGCAATATATAAAAATTATATATATTTTAACATTCACATAGTGATTTCAGATTCTGTACTTATTCAATGTTAAGTATAAAAAATAAAATATATATTTAATGAAATAATTATTATTTTAAATCTATAATATTGAAGATGTATCTTTTTTGGTTCTACGTTTATGATTCAATAATAGTATGATAATAGTAATACAATATAAAATATTCATACATAATGCTATACTTTTAATTAATTTTATAATTTCTGTAATATATATAATACAAATTATACAATATATTTATATCATAATTATATTAAGTATAAATAATTTCATTAAATCATATTTGATTTAATGTCAGTTAAATAAATTTTTATATTTAAAAATATTAATATATGCATATATAATATAATATAATGATAATTTAAAATAAAATTGTAAATATATATCATGTGAAATATCTAAAGTGGACTATAAAATATTTTATATATAAAAATATTATTAATATGAATAGTATATTTTTACCTCTTTTATATAAATCTCTGGCTGTTTCTTTTCCAATTCCACAATTTGCACCTGTTATCACAATAGTTTTACCATTCAAACGAATATTACTTCTGCAATAATTACTAAAAAATCGCATGTTTAGAGCAAGTTTTAGCTTAATTGCGACAATAAAAAATAAAAAAAGTTGTTTTATCGAGAATCTTGAATAGCCTTCTAATAGTAAAATTTTGTACTTTGTGATCTCATTCACTTCACTGAACGGTATAACTATACGGTATTCTGTACTTGATATCATCATGTAAAAGTAGTGGGGTTTAAAATAGCAACCATTCACATGTATATATATACATATATATATATATATATATATGTTGTAATTTAATAATAGTTGTATTTATTTTTTATATATTTATAAAAATATTGATTTATTCATTTCCGTTATTAGCATATATAAAATATAACAAATTATTTTTTTTAAAATCAGATATGCAAATATCGATTTTTTATTTTAATTAATTAAATAATTTCGGAAAATTTATTATTTAAAGGACAAAATATTTAAAAAAATAAAAATTTTTTTCAAATTTTTTTTGGAATAATAAATGGAATTATTTTTACTTTTGGATAAATTTTATTAAACTTAATATTTATTTAAAAAATATTTTTTTATTTTATATAGTTAAAAATATGATTTTTAAAAAAATTCGATTATTTAAAAAATATATATAATAAAAATAAACATATTCTAGATGAATAGATATTTTATTAAATTTTCAAAATTATATCATTACACTCTAATATTAATAAACAAGAATGTTTTTTGTATCTATGATATGATATATATAAATAAATATAGCACATAAATAAAGCACATAAATGAGCAATATTTTATTAAAAAAATTAAAAATAAATGACCTTAAGATTAGATAAAAATAATAAAATGATTTATTCAAATAGCTTTTGTTAATAAAATAGGTATAAATAAGTTAAAAGAAAATAATATTTTTAAATTATTTTTTGATTGTTTGAAAAAATTGAATTTGCAAATTTGTTAGATATTTGTGTATTATTAAACAATATCATAACTTATTAGATTTAGTCGCGGTAGTATTCCTATAAATTAGGAACCTAAATTTAACAATTTTCGAATTTTTTTTATAAGATTTTTAATCTAAAAAATGATAATACTTCAAAAATATTTGTGTTAAAGAATTAAAAATAAATAGTGATATTCGAAGAGTTAAAAAATACATAATTTAAATTCAATTCAAATATATGGTTGGAAAAACATTTTAATTCAATGAACAAAGTTATTTATGTAACAATATAATTAATGTTTCAAATATTTGTTACATGAAATGATTTTTAAAAAATAGATATTAATCTTAATTATGAAACTATTCAAATTAAGAATGAAGAAATTACAGAATGAAAGAAGCAATAATACAAATCGATATGATAGAAATAAAATAATAAAATAGAAGCAAATCGTCATTATTCATATTTACAAATACAAATAGAGATAGAAGTTTCATATTTTGAAAATGAGTTAATTCATGAGTATTTGATGATTTTTTAAATTCATTTTTTCGAAAATGAAATTTTTTTGCATATGGAATCATCATCCGTTGATTATATTAATTGTACTTTTAATGTTTTTATTTTTGAAAGAAAAAGATTAAAAAGACATAACAAAAATTGATATTTTTTTATAAATTCATTTTTTCATTATTTCCTAGATATGATAAACAATTTTTAAGACTAGATTCAAATTCAGTATATAAAAATACACGAGAAATCTATTCTGAAACAATAAAATCTATATAAACTGTTTTTTTCGTATCCGTCTTTAATATATTTTTTGCATAAATGAGTAAAATTTATAAAAAAAAATATTAACTACAATTGATTTTTTCTTATATTATTATTGAAGTTATTAAAATTTGATATATTTTATATATATTTGATACATATATATATTTGATATATATTTGATATTGATTTAATTTTAAGAAAAATCATAAGATATCATTATTTTGCCCAGCACTATAATTTTGATTTATATATTTATGCATTTGATTATTACATTTATTCGAATTTGACACTATAGGAATATAATTTATGTATGTATTATAAATGAATTCAATATTTTTATGTAAGTAATTAATAATTAAGTCATATTTAAAATAACTTCATTAACAATCCATATTAATATAGATATATATACATAATACATATGCATATAACATATTAAATATAGATTTTGCGACTTTGCTATTTATAAAAATGGAAAAAGGATATTTTCTCTTCTAATTCTTATTTTCTTCTTAGATTAGATATAATTTTTCTAGTATTTTTAATATTAAATTCAGTTTTTTTCAATTTTAAATTTGATAACTTTGAACTTTTTTCTTATTATTTAATCATTGAATTATTCAATTTCCATACAAAGAATGAATTGAGCTTTATATATAATTAGCTTAAATTTTATAATGTAATTAAGGTTTTTTGAAATATTTAGTTCTATTTTTTAAATTTAGTTTTATTTTATAAGTAGACATGGATGAATATTCTATTAAAATGAATAATGAAAATTCTAATAAAAATTAATATGATTAAATGACAAAAACAAAAAAAAATTTATTCTATTAATGTCATTTTTTTCTATACATAGAGATGCATATATATATTATATATGTAATTCAAATATATATATATATAATAAATATATAAATGTATATAACAAATGTATATAACATAATATAATATATATGGTAAATATATATATATATAATATAATACATATATGGTAAATATATATATAATATAATATATATATGATAAATATGTATGATGAGATATTATAAATTGAAAGATAAATATTTATTATATAATAATTTTATTAAATAATATAATTTCAAACTTGTTAAATAATTAATAAACTAATATGTTAAGTATACAAGAAATATACAAAATAAAATATATTCTTTAGAATCGGGAATGAGACAATAAATTTCTATTTTGATCATTTCTTTTTTATATTCTCTAAAATAATCATTTGTATAAATCTGCAATCTATTTATAATCTACTAAATAATTCTTAACCGATATTTTTCTATAATTTTTATATTTATTTTGATTTTTAAAATTAACTCTTCAAAAATATTCCATGAATATATTCATAATTTGTATATAAAGTTAACGATTTGATTATAATTATTTGAAAAATAAAATTATATAATTTATTATATAAAATAGCATCAATCAAATTATGTCATCAATAGGATCTCTGCCATTTCATATTTTGCATGATAATAATAATAATAAATTTTTACATAAAACAAATTTTTATTGTTTTTAAAAAAACAATAACTATTACAAATATATTTTTGTATTTTCGTATTACAAATACATTGATTCCATTAATATTCTCAAAATGAATTTATTATAATCAAGAATGAATATCTGCTTAATAATATAATAATTTATGATTTCGGATTATTTCGGACGAATTATACAAATAATGTATTATATATATATATATATATATATATATATATATATA